GTGTATTTTAGATTACATCAAATCACTGCACCAGAGCACATCATCCAGCTCACCTTGTATTCACCCCTAACACTCGGCTGGACACAGAAACCATTAAGCTGTGGCTTTTAGATTTATTAAAGTGCAGCATGACTGAAATTGTGCTGATGATGGAGAAAAGGTAGAGTACAATTTTATCTGTTATTATAAGCAGAGACACTCTGTTGCAAAGGCAGAGATTTTCAAGATGGCGCTTCATCTTCCGTTTACCTTAATTCCACTTTGATTCCTTATAGAACATATGATCTTGTTGGGTTTTTTTTTTCTTTGCATAACTTAGAGACTTAGAGGATTCTTGTAGCAAGTCACGATGAGTCACTCCTGATGAAAGGGGGAGGAGATGGTACGGGTTTAGCCAAGCAGAAGACAGTCTGAGTGAGTCACAGAGCTGCAGCGTGAACTCCTCTAGCATCCTGAGCTCAGCCTGGCTGGCCCACATGTTACATGACAGGAACTCTTAAGAATGATCACATTTCTGAAAAGCCAGCATAGAAAACCTGTGAACAAAATATTAAACAGCTCGATTATGTTCACTACTTGGATGAAGGCAATTTCATTTATGTATCTAAATGTTTTCATTTAACTCTACAAGAGATTCAAATTTTGACCATGGCTTTCTTCTATGACACTGCAGACCCCCTATATCTGCTGGGCTCAGGAATCAAAGGCAAATACAGTGAATAACTAAAAATCCACAGATGCATGACTAGGCAGTGCCAAGGAAAATGAATATCGCTGTGGATTGGATAGTTTGTGTACATTAGGTTGTCAAGTAGCATTGCACATAGCTTCCCAAGCTGCATTTTCTTTTCAATATATCCACAAAACATAAACCACAAATAGGCAGGGCATCAAACATACCTTTCCTGGTTTCAACTGAAACAATGTGACTTGTGTTATCAAGATTACTAAGCATTTTTTTGTAAAAATTCCACGCTTTTCCAAACTCAGTACTTCACTATTTTTGAACAATAAAAGCTCAATTTCACCAGATTTTTTTATACATACTTACATAGACCAGGTTTTCAATAAGCAGAAATTACACCATTAAAGAAGATGGATTTTCAATCCAATACTTTTCCATTACTCAAGGAAGCTTTGCATCATGTGATTCAGTGGATTAATTAATTAAATCCAGTAAGAAAGGCTCCAGATCATCAAGCAATCTTGTACTTCCAGGTCTTGTCATTTAAATAACACAATTATCCAATAACCTGCAGCAGAGAGGAATCCTTTCTCTCAATCAGGTTTATTGTGATAGAAATATAATTTGAGAACTCACTGAAAGTACAGGCGATATAATGTGTCATTTGTTCTGCAGCGCCTTCAGCTGTGGATGGGTTGAGTCCAAACAACCAAACACTTTAAAAAGTGTCTGTGTGCTGCATGTGAATCTGCTTGGCTAAACAAGGATGATTTGTGTTGATTTCTGAGTGTGTGGGTAGCTGTAGAAAACCTCCCAGGGCTTCACGCAACTACGATAATCATTCTCATCTGGTGTCGGTTGTGATAGCAAATCTACCTGGAGTAGCACATTGTTCGTTGTACTCATTGAACTGTCAAAATTTAACAATGTTTTAAGGAATTGCTCAAATGTTTTTCAATTTAGTGCTAGTTTTAGGTATTAATGACTATTAGTAATAGAGAAGAAGAAGAAAAAGCAAGTCTGCTTGCTGTGCTGGAAGTATTTCTAAGAAATTACAACTTTATAGAACAGAAAATGGCATTACACAGGTCGGTAGGGAAATATAGGACAATTTCATTTCAACAAATTGTTCTTTTTGTTGCCATTTTACTTTTATTGCTGACGACATAATTGGTAGTGCCCTGCATTAGCAAAAGCTTTCAGGTTTTGTTAAAGCATAATAGCCTTTTATTCTAACTAAGGTTCAGATGGGTGATTACATAATATATATCTTTTTGAATGAATTAGAGCATTGTCGATGAATAGATGGAGCCCTGAGATTAAAACACCCACACACAACATGGAGATTTGAAGTAAATCTCTCATTAATCCAAACACACACACAAATAGATTGAGGAAAAGTACAGGACTCAAGAGACTGATGCTTATATTTTTACAAAAGGATGATTTATTAAGTTATATTTTTTGCAGAACAGAAAGTAGCCTATCAGTTCAAACTTACCATGGAAACAGATGGACGTAATGTTGGCTCACTACTTTCATACACCAAGAAATATATAGTGATTCCTTCTTGCTATTTTTTCATCTGAATTGTAGAAAATCTGATCAAACTTTAGAGTCCATCAAGAAACCAGCTGAACTGAGCTAGAGATATAACTGATGCGCCAATCAAGAGTAGGCTGGATAAATGTTTGTTGTTGTTGTTAGCATCGTTCACTATGCTACGCTATCCTACGTTAGAAACTTTTTGCCCATCATGTAAATAATGGAGAGTCTGGAGCTTCAGCTTCGCAAGTTATCTATTGAAGTTTCTACTTGTCGAATTAATTGACCTGTTAAATGACATGTTCAAATACTCCTGGTCTCAGAGTGACCTTCCAGCTGTTTCAAAACAAAGAGGGTCAGAACTACACATGCATAGAAATGCATATATGAAACAGGTTAATCAATGTCCTGCCAAGCAGAATATTCAACCACACAAACTTTCTATGCTGTATCCCCTCTTTTGTAGAACAGAAAAGGCATATTCTGTCTTGTTTTTCTTTTCTTCGGGAGGTTTGAAGAAGCAGTGCAGCACAGAGTTCTTGTGGGGTTAATGGTGCAATTTCTTTTGATGCTCCAACACTGGGCATGGGCAGCAATAGCCATCACCAGGGCAACAGTAAGATAAAAGTTGAAAAGCTTCTCCAGGTTTTATTGTTGGGTGTACACGTATCTGTACTTGCATTTTATGTCCTGCACTTTAGTGTATTTATTAATGCATAGATCAGCTTTAATTCTGTGTATTCTAAGGCAATAATAGATCTTTAAATGTATTAAAATACAGAACAACTGAATTGCAAAAACTGTGAAATTTCCAACATTAGAAATATTTTGCTATGGATGTGTCTCCCGCTCAAAACACAGGGAACACTTTCCAACAGTTAAAACCATGGGGAAATTTTACTGCCAGAAGTAGTGAGCACACATTTTCAGTTAGCAAGCAAGATTTCTTTGCACTCAAAAGTTCTCTTTCAAATATTCTTCACGTTCATGCAGATTTTCTCCTCGTGCTCAGAACTTCTTCTCGGTTAGGATCACATCTCCACTCACTTGCGAATTCTTGTCTGCTTTCTCTGGAAACAAAAGTAAGGTTGCCTTGCAACTGTCTCAGCCAATAGAAAGAAAGTGTCTCACTGGGCAGAGGGAGGCTCCTTTAGGGTGCATTTGTTTCCTTCGAGTGGGTGTGGCTGTGTGGCTACTTTCGATTGAAGCAACCTGTGCCGTCCACTGGATGTTGGGAGAAACAATCTCAGCTTTCCTCTCCATGTTAAAACTTAGAGATAAGGATTTTGCCCTTACACTCTGTGATCATTAGCTTTCAGATTGAAAGTCTAAGCACAGTATTACAAGTTTTGAGAATAAAGCGATGAAATCCTGCTGGAAAAACTGAAAATGTGTGCTCTCAACTTATGGTTGTAAAATCCCCCCACAGGTGTGCCCCAAAGAACAGGTTTCCTTACCTAAAAACTGAAAATTTGAAATGATGAATATCTTTACTTAATCTTATTGTGATTTAAAAATCTATGTTGGTTGTTCTTGGTATGTACACCCTCATCCACCTACATGGCTAATTTTAACGCTTTTTCTCTCTCTATTGAGTCATTTTCACATGGCACCCACTCAGTTATTGTATGGAAATAGAAAGGTGTGACTACAACACTGCTTAGTTAAAAATCTGTACAAATACTGAATTTTTCAATGATTTGCACACTCAGAAACATCTTGATTTAAAAAAAAATTCTAGTTCTTTAATCTTTCCAGCTTTCTAAAAACCAAAATGGTTCTGATAGTTAATTAAAAGATCACAATTTGGAGATAATGATTGTATACAAAATTATAAGAGGATCTGTACAAAGTCTCACAGGCAACAATAGTGGAACAAAATTAATAAACTGAATAAGAATATTTCATTTTCATCTTCTCTTCCTGTAATAAGGTGTTCAATCAATGCTGATAAGGTTCAGTGACCTTATCAATGTATTAAGGGTGAGAGAAGATGACCCTTAGCAATTAGTCAGAAGATAACATTGATCCCACTCTTCACAACCCAATAATTAGCCATAGACATATTACTGGCAGTCAGGAATTTATATTAATTTTTAATTCATTCAATCAGATGTGAGCAGTGGGCCAATGAAACTAACACCCACAGCAGTTGTTAAATTCAGCAGACATTTTTCTTTCTTTTACTACAGGGTTATTGCATTTTTGCTTATTGAATATGACATTAAGGATTTATTTATAAATGTGGCATCTCCTCTATAGCTTTTATTCAATATCTAGTTTCATTTGGTTTGACTAAATTTGTTCCTTATGGTTGCACACCGTTTTCAAATCAAGACTAGAAGTTTATTGGAGGAGTCATTGTCATTCTGCTAAATACTGTTCAATAAGTGTGGAAATGCAGTGTTTTATGTGAAACACAAACTGGAATTTGTATAGATGGTGGTTACAGTGAAAATGGATTCCTCAGACTCTTACACTTAATAAAACACCCCCCTCTGCTGGCTAGAAAAATAACCGTTCCAGTTTTGTTTTTTGTTTTTGTTTTGTTTTTTTGCCACGTTGTTAATGACCTTTCTTTATAAAATTATTCAAACCTTCAAGGAAAAATAACTTTATGAACTTTAGGTTCATAAATAACTTTATGAATGAGCGACGTGTTTGCACTATGTTTATCCGTATTTTGTCCTGCCTTTCCACAAATAACTACACTTCCCATCATCCATCACGCGCCGGCTGATTCTGTGACGCACATTTTAGTCGACAGAGATTCACATCTTATCCGCCTAAGCAAACCTAGTAGATGAAGTTAAGTCAGATAACCCGTTAATTTAAGACATAATGTAACGCCTATTAAATACTGTAAGTTAAAGTTCTTCCATGTGAGATGTATCTCTTATTTTACTCTGTCGGAATTTTGTTTTTAACTTTATTTGTGGGGTTACTTCGTCTATAAATCCGTCTGCACGCTTGTTGTGGTTTGTCCCAACAAAATGACTCTTCCAGCTTTGCAAAACACCGGCGTGATTTACAGGAGGATCTTGTCCCAGTTTCCTCAAGACATTAGCTTAGCTTTTGCATACGGATCTGGTGTTTTCAAACAGCATGGGACCAGCCAAGGTCAAATGGAGGTAAGAGTTCCTGCACTGTACTGGTCATAAGAAGGTTTTAGCTTGGTTAAATTGGGTGAATCTGTTCTAATCAGAACATCAAGGAAGCTCTCTGGATGAGCATCTTCTTATCAACTCAACACAATGTCTATTCGTCCCTGTAAAGGTCTACAAGTTTTTATATATCACAAATAAATTAAAGATGATGAAAACTAAAATCCAATTTCTTAGAAAAGAAGAATATTCGTCACACTGCCCAGCTGACCAACAGTTCAGTCATTTTGCTCTGTAAGTCGCTTGACATACATTGGTTATTTTTCAACAACAACTTAGTATCACACAAGTTTAATCTTTTGAATTGAATGAATGACAAAAATTAACTTAGCGTTTAAATTCTAATTTAATTGGATGGAGTTAATATTGCTGTTTTAGTCTACCACACGTCTTTCAAAAGTAGCTTTTTTCATGCCAGTCTATTCCGTAAAAGACATATTTTTGGAGTACTCCACTAATGCGTACTATATCTTATCTACAGATTCTTCCATCTGAGCTGTGGATTTCTGCAGCTCCTCCAAATTCTAATTTAATTGGATGGAGTTAATATTGCTGTAATATTGCTGTATTATAATTTTTGAGTACTTACTCAAAAATTATTGTAGTTTTTTTCTCAGATTCATCACAATAAAAAATGTTTGGGTTTTTATGTTATTGTGTTATCCTCTTATGTGTACAGAAAAACATGCTGGACTTTGTGTTTGCGGTGGACGATCCCGTGACATGGCACACTATGAATTTGCTACAGAATCGCAGGCACTACTCCATCCTGAAAATACTGGGACCCACCAAAATCAGCTCCATACAAAATGACTATGGAGCTTCTGTTTACTACAACACACTCGTGCCTACTGATGGAAAGGTCATCCACGAGATCATTACAAGACTGATGATGTTTTTTTAAAACATTGCTGATTTTATCTGTTTACTAAATGCCTCTCTGTGTTTTAGATAATTAAATACGGGGTGATTAGTACAGACTCATTGATTGACGACCTCATGCACTGGAAGACCATGTATGTTGCAGGACGTCTTCACAAGCCGGTCAGTTTGGATCAGATCTGATTTTTTTTTTTTTTTGTATATGAAGCAAGCAGAATGTTGACCAAAATAAAATCTACTTCATAAACAAGGCTTGGACTTTGGCTAAATAATGTTTGCATAAATCCTCTTCTCGCTGTGTGTTGTCCTTGTAGGTGAAAATGTTGGTACAGGATGAGAATAGGAAGCTCCGTGCTGCTCTGGTATCCAACCTAAAGAGCGCGGTTATGGCCTCCTTCCTTATGCTGCCAGAAAGCTTCACAGAGGAAGAACTTTTTCTGCAGATCGCTGGACTTTCTTATGCTGGTATGAATCTCAGACAGCTTCTTAAAGCTCAACAATACTTACTACAGAATTTATAAGATTTGTTTGTCCAGAACAGTTTTAAAAGTTTTAATAGTGTTAAATCTAATTAGTGTTCAGCAAAAGAGCTATTGAGGTCTTTGGAAAACTTCTGTTGATTAAGTTGACTTTTGAAACCTTAGGATGGGTATCCTGATACCCATCCTAAGGTTTTTGTACTGATTTATATACTGTTGAATAGAAGGTCCTGCATAGAGGCATGTAAAATAACTAGGATATTGTTGGCATTTTCTTTGGTTTTTATAGTCTTGTTTTGAAAGATAATATATTTGTGACTTTGAAGGAGATTTTCGGATGAAGATTGGAGAGGACAAATCCAAAGTGTCCAATATTGTCGAGGACAATATTCAGCATTTCAGGATTCTTTACAGCAACATCCTCCGGGACTGCCCTCAGGTGGTCTACAAACTTCCACAAGGAAGACTTGAGGTACGGCAAGCTTAATGAAGTAGCAAAACAAATTTATCTCAACCACAAGAAATGCATTTTATCAAGATTTTTTTCATACTTCCTAAAAGTATTCCCACTTCTATTGCTGTTTTAGTTAGTCTACCACACGTCTTTCAAAAGTAGTTTTTTTCATGCCAGTCTATTCCGTAAAAGACATATTTTTGGAGTACTCCACTAATGCGTACTATATCTTATCTACAGATTCTTCCATCTGAGCTGTGGATTTCTGCAGCTCCTCCAGAGTTAAAATAGGCCTTCTGGCTGCTTTTCTAATTAACTCCCCTCCTTAGCAGGGTTTTTTTTGGCTGTTGGTGTTGATATGGAAAGTCAAAACCAAGTCATTGGTTCAGTCGGTTCAATCGGACTCAGAAGATTTTGTTTCTGGATCTTGTATATGAATTGATTCCAAACCAGTCCAGATTTGTTCCATATTCACTTTAAGAGTTATAGGACTGTGTAATAGCAGATTTGTTGCAGAATGACATCAAAAAGCCCTAACATTATTCATTTGTCTAAATACAGTATTGTGCAACCCTAAGTAGATATTCTTGCTATTTTTTTAGTTTGCTCTCCACCTGCTGCCACTCCTTGTTATACAAAAGAAACTGTCTCCACCTCCAGGCACCACACCACCCTGGATTAAACTGTCTCATAAGGGAACAGGAGGAGCGTTTAACAATGTGGCACTGTATGTGTGTTAGATCTTTTCAGTGAACACTGTAATATGTTTGACCAAAGAATATTCAGTCCTCAGCAGTTCACATCGGTTCTAACTATTAACTGTTGTCTTTGGGTTATGGGCGAGGTTTAGCTAAAAATTAGCAAATGGAGATAATAGCATATCAAGCTACTATTAAAACCTGAGCTTTGGTCTATTTCAGAGAATCCCTGGCTGTGAAGTCTGTTCATGACTTACAGCTATAAAAAAGAGTATAAAACATTTGAATGTTTTCTGTAAAATGTTTCAGACAAAGCATCCTTATGGGCGAACGCCTTTATCTGCTGCATCTTACTCATTTAAATAAATAAACAACAGTTGCCACATTACTGAAATCTTTAAAAGCCAGATAATGATTTAAAACCAATAGTTTTAATGTTTTACTTCTTAGCAAAATATTCAGCTCAGAACATGTTCAAAGAACCAGAATGTGCAAAACTAGGTTGTACAGTATGTTCATCAAGAAGTTCAGACAAACAAGTTTTTCCTCCACAACCTGTGCATAACTGGAACAGTCAGATGCAATTTTCAGGATCAACAGTGTAAACTCAGAGAGTCACTGGAAAAAACTCCTAGTTCTGTATGAGAGGATGTTAGAACAATTGGAATTAGAACTGCGCTTCTCAGCCAAAAATTTGTTTTTCAGCTCAAAAAATTCCTATTGTCAGTCAAAATGTCTGCATCTCTGAATTATTCTGATTTGTGTTGTGTAGGTTGACAAAAGTCCTGAAGGCCAATTCATCCAGCTGATGGCGCTGCCTAGAACTCTTCAGCAGAGGATCACAAAGCTGGTTGACCTTCCAGGGAAAAACAGGGATGTGGAGGAGATCCTGCTGCAGGTGGCTCAGGACCCCGACTGCGGAGCTGTGGTGCATCAAGGTTTGTGGAAAATCTGATTAAAAAAAACAAACTAAACCCTTGTCTAAGTACTAGGATTTTTACTTAAAACATGCTTAAACAAAGTAGATAAAATCAGTAAAGTTGTCTTCCTTTAGACTGATAAGACAGGTGACTTTACTTCAAGAGACCAATAGATGAAGTAAATACTGTTTTTTCTCTTCTTTAAAAGCAGTCAAGCAATCAAGCTGCTGACTGAGTTGTTCTGTTGTTGCTCCTCCACAGGTATCTCATCTATTGTTAAGTCCTCCAGCATAACACAGAGTATCAAAGGAATTGCTACAGCTGGTAAGAACTCCTACAGTGTCTCTGTAATATTCCAAATTAGCTAAAGTAATAACACTACACTTTTGATAAAGCACTTTTTAGCTCAAAAGCTACAATTATACGTTTAGTTTGGTTTTGAAAGAAATGTTGAAAATATTTGTTTTATTTTCTGAAAAAAAACCCTCAAATATTTTCTGCTCAATCTGTTATCCTGATATCCATCCTTAAATTTTGATCCTTTAAATGTCTTTCTATTCTACCATTTTTTTTGTGAATGTCTTTTTAAGTATTTCTCTTACTATGTGAAACTGTCCTGATGCGGATGTTGTGTCCTGGTCCCGTCAGGTTTAATGAAGACTGTCTCCTATAGCTCCAAAAAACTGATGAAGATGTGGAAGAGCTGGAGGAGGAATCAGTCATTCTCGCAGATGTCCTGATGCAGATTACTATGACTTTTTCACTTCTTAGTTAGATAAATAATCCAGGCTGCCTTGTATCACTTTGTGCGTGTGGTGTGGAAGTCCCTCTGCACTTGTCCCGTCCCATTAAACCTCCGATGGCTACAGAAGAAACCATTACATTTCCAGAACCAGACTGAAAATAGGTTTTATAGTTGCACATACAGATGAGAGGGTCAAAGGAAAAGTCTGCTGATAGAAAAAGTCACTGAACCTGTGTGAACATTTACCTCAATAAGTTTGGTTTCAGTTAAGTATTACATGTATGTGTTTTTTTTTCTATTGATTGTGGGTCCTGCTTTGGGTTTCATCCCTGGCAATCACTTTGCCAAAGATTTGTTGAATTTGTATATCTTTCCTTGTGTTTTTATTCATTCTTTGCAGTTTTCCGATGGGAAGCGTTACATTGTAACTCTGGAATGATGCAGTAAAAATAATTTATACATATACACTGTATATAAAAAAAAACAGTTTTTAAAACACAGCAACAAGTCAGCTTCTTAGTTTTACTTTGGAAATATGTTCAGTAAAACTGAAGCTCCTGAATTTTGACCAGACATAAATATCTCCACTCAGCTTCTTCATTGCATTATAACATAGTGTTTCTGCCCTATAGTAAAATGTTTTGGTTGTCATTAAGGTAAACTTAACTCCAGTTGCTCAACATACCATACTCAACATAGAGGTACTGAGATTTAATGGTTCTAGTGAAATCAGATTACATAGACATGCATTTTTCATTAATCATTTTTGTTGTGCTGTGATTTTTCAAAAAATAAAATCATGTTTCATAACAGTTTTTAGTGAAGCGCAGTGGGAGGTAGGAGACTATTTTGTACTTCAATGGCTCAGGGATAATCGGTTAACACATTCATGGGGAAAAAAGAAAGTACACCCTGTTCTAAGGTCAAGTATCAGAACATAATAAAAGTTATCTGCTCTTTGTCAACTTTTAAGATTATTTAAAGCTGACCTCAAACCCATATGACAGATTTCTGCTTTTTGTTATTTGTAAGACAAATTTAAAACAAAAATGACACACAAAAAAACGAGTATAGGAAAATATCTTTTGAGCAGCAACTTGAAGTTGTCAGGTTTTTGCATGACATAATCAGACTAGTGCCAGAATGTTTGGTCATATTTTTCAGAGGTTTAATTTTACTGCTTCTGATTTGGTTTTTGGCCCCGCCGGAGCACGTTTCATTTGCTGAGGCGCAGACTTCGAGCCATTGATTTTGTTTTCTGACATTCATTCAAACACTGCTCATTTATTCTAGAATATAATTCAATATGCAATATAATAACCTATGCAAGTCTTAATCTTTGACTCCCGTGACAAAAATTTTAACTTAATTTTGCCTGTTTTGTTCAATGACTGGCTTGTGCGGTTTGCATCATGAACGGACAGTAGGCCAAGTCTGAAATGCCACAATAACAAATGAGAAGTTCCTATTCACTGGTAACTACATTTAAAGCAGTGTTCAGCAGAATGAATGTAATGAAAGCACTCAAGAAAATGAAACAAAATAGAAAACAGTGCTGTGACAGTGATACAGTTCAGTGAATCATCTGGTTCAACCACTTTTCTGTTTTGTCCACCGAACAGCATTACATCATGACACCTGAGTCATCTAACAGCACTGGAAACTCCTTTTTCTTTTCTCTTTAACTGTGATCCACCAGCTTTCACTGTGTGTTTCTTGGATGCTTGTTTCTTGTTGGTCAGCATTTTTGTAACACCATGTTCTGTTAAAGAAGGAAGACTAAGGCTGCTGGATTTTTTTTTCTGTTGTGGCCTTTGTTTAATAGTGAATTGACTGGAGTGAGGGATAGAAGAAGACATGTGGGACAGATTACCAGGCCAGGACTAAAACCTGTGACGTTCGCTTTAAGGACTAAGGTCTCCACATGTGGGTCATGCCCAACCTGTGCATCACAACAGCACCCTACATGTGGTATTGTGACTAGATTAATCTCAAACACCATCTGTTTTATGCTCATCTATTCTCATCTCACCAAAGCTCCTCTTTCCACATACTGAATCATGACAAGAAGTTCTCAAGTCATGCATGCACTTCATGACTTGTGGACTTCTTGTGGCTTCTTTTGAGGAATGGTGTGCTTTGTGCCAGTTTTCCATATAAAAACATGCCAGACTACATGAGAAATCGAAGTCTTACCAACAGATTTCACCCACTTGATCTGTGGGCCTCTTCTTATTCCTACCAGTTATCATGGGAATCTTTGTTCTGGATTTGATTTTTGAGGGTATGATGAATTGGGTTGAATGCAAATATAATACATAAACACCAATGTGGTGAAGTAATAAGTAGTGGTAATACTTAAAGCCCTTTTTAAAGTCTAGAATAATCTTTTTTAAAAAATGTCCCATCTTTGGGAAAACTACTTTCTACAGATATAGAAAATAAATGTTTCGGCAGCAGCTTTACGCCTTGCGACAGTAAATGTCAGCACGCTTCCTGTCTGGTTCTGAGCCTCTTTCCCTGCTGCTGAAGGAGATAACGTGAAGCCCTCCCCGGGTCATGGTAATGCGCACAGTGACAGCTGTGTGATGCAATCCCCAACCATCATAATGTATGCTGATATCACTGCCTCAGAGCTCCACCAATCAGCGCGCTTCACTTTCACCACCTGCTAGGAACTGAATTCCATCATTCCAGGCATTCCTGCTCCCTCCCTCCCTCCCTCCTTGCCTGCCTCCCTTCCTCCTCTTCGTTTACAACCAAGTTTGTCCCGACAGCTCTGCTACTATTGTCTGTGCTCGTTTTCACCGCCGCTTTTTTTTTTGTTTTCTCTTTCTCTGGGAATAATATTTATAATAAAAATCTATTTTATTTTATTTCTTACCCGGATATTATCATACTGGAAGACACCAAAGTGGCGCTTGAAGGAGGTAGGTGTTTGGCGAATAAGAAGTTGGGTCTGACTGACTGACATTGTTTCGGGTTCGTAGGGTTGGGAGTGCGGTTCACATGAGGCATTCAGGGCAACACATTCAGTCCGGTTTCTGAGGATATTCGGCGTGGGAGTCGAGTCTTTGCGAAGACATGTGCGATAGTGGGTCGGAAACACTGTTTACCAAAAGGGTTGTTTGAGATTTCATTCAGGAGTTGACGCTGCTCTGGCCGATTCCCAAACTTTCCCATGTCAATAGCTTTAATATAGCCGCATTCTTTGGATATCTGCTGTAGTCCCTTATCAGAAATCAAGTGCATTTCCTGGTTGTTTCATTTTGCTGGATCATTGCAGTAGTAGTCCTTCCTGGATAAAGGGCGCACTGAGTCAGGCTTGTATAAATATCCCGAACCACCTGTAAGCCAATATTGGATTTCACTGCAGCACAGTTCAAACAATTACAACGTGGGGGTATTTCTTAAAGCAAAGACATCGCTACCATCATGTTGCCTCAGGTCCCTTTTTCGTGCAGAATTGAGGAAATGATTGTATCTGAGGAATGCCAGAAAAAGGAAGAAAACCACGCTTTTTCTTTATTCTTGAATATCTTTCATAGCTCAGTCAGTTGGACAACAACAACAACAAAAAACAAAAATCCCCCAAAGTACTCTAACAGTAATTTAGGAAACTAAAAGCAATAAATTATTTGCACGATTGTAACATTTCTGCAGTGGTCAGTCATGGTCTGAGTTATATGCTGCATTATTACTAAATTAATGTGCTGATCCATTGAGTTCGGAAGCCTTTCATTGTTGTAGATCTGTTTTGCCAAGTGTGCACTTAATGTGTTGCTTGTTTTGATGACATGTTTATTCCTTTTCTGAGTACTTAGGATTTCAGTGGTTGGATGGATATCACACTTGCATTTCTTTGCCTGCAAAGAGAACACAAATACACAAACAGCAAATTTATGATCAACTCATGCAAAGCAGGATTTGTTCAAGATGTTTTGTAAGCCATCAAGAGTTGTCATTAAAGTAGCAGACTCAGAAGTCTGAATTTCTATGAAACTATGATAGTTGGCCTGTCACAAACACACCAGTGCATCATATTTAACGTTCATTTAAGCTGACATGACATGGTTTTATTAAAAAAGAGAAAACAATTACTGGAGCTATGACATATAGTGTATCACAATTTTTATTTCAACATTGTCTGCAAATTTCATTACATATGATATCTGGCAGGATGCTGAAGTGTAAGCATATATACAGGCCAGAAATAAAATTATAGAGGAGTTCAATAGAACATGCTTTCAAACATAAGGAGTTAAAAGCTAAATAGTTACTGGGCTCATAACTTGTCAAATGTGTGATTTCCATTGTTTATAACATAACTTGATGTCAATCAATCATTTGAGCCTTTTTATTGTGCATTCACTGTAGGTTATTGGTTTAAAAAGTAACATTATTCATTAGACTTAGCCAAGATGACAAAGTCTGAGATGTCTAACAATATGTACTCTAAACAAAATTGGTTTATTTTATGATGAATTGTTTTACATTTTGTTTTGATGCAATGGCTATTGTCAACAAGTTAAAACACTTAAGGTGTAAGTTTTTTTTCTTTTTTTTTTACACGCAGAGACCCTTGGAAGAGTTTCTCCACCTAGTGACTGGACTTCCTCTCAGATTCACTGTCTTTTGTGTAGATCCAACTGTGCGCACAGCAGCTTTGACATTTTGCTCTCTGCTGTCTTTCAGGCATCCAAGCATGGAGACCCCACTGGACGTTCTGTCAAGAGCAGCATCATTTGTTCACGCAAATGACGAAGAGAGTGAGTACAATCAAACTAAGCCCCTCCTGCCTGTTTGTGCCCACAGAGGTAGAGCTCCACCTCCTGTTTTACTCCCTTTCTCTTGTGTTAGGCTGTTGGAAAGTGATTTATATAATTGGAGCCGCATTACATATAGACAAAGTCCAGTAGTGGGCTCAGACATAACCCTCTGCCTTGTTTTCAGCTTTGAGACAATAGGCGGCTTTGTGCCACTCCAGCTCGCAGTTTTAAGTCCACAGGCAAATAAGACCAACCGCCTTCAACTGCCATTAGCTGTGATGTTTGCTTTTAGTGGAATCAAGGCGGGGTGTCTGTGTCTGACATCCTTCCTTGTTCATCCAGGCTCCAAACTACCTGCATCTATTCTCTAATTTGTGCTTAGAGGCATTTGAGAAGGAAAAAAGAATGTCTCAGTTCAAAGAGGATGATCAGTGTTTTCCAGCAGGCTGTTGTACTGTTGGGAGGTCTGATGTTAGTGGCATCCACTAACATCATATATTAGTGGATGCTACTGATGTATGGTGTGCTCTATTAGAGGATATAGTTCAGTATTTTAATGGTTTGAGATGCAGTTTTCTGTAGTTGCTGGTGATGTTACACAACTCCTCTGTGCACGTTTAATATTATTGCACAAGCTTGTAACAGATGGATATTTTCAGTTGTTTTATAAAATTTATTATATATGTTTTCTACATTTTTCTTAAAATTTGACTCCCAAAAACACAACAAAAAATGTTTTACCAAGATGTGCCAAACTTGCCCATGAGTTAGTCTGTTGTGTCCCTTTCACACAACAGAAAAAGATGAAAAACTAAACAACTAAATATACACTAGTATTGTGAAAATACAGTCTTAAGTCCACTGAAATCCTGCAAAATGTAAATACAATAATTTTGAAGTATTTTTAATGCAGGTCTTCTGTCTTTCAGGGCAGATGTTGTCCTACAACTTTTGGATGTGCTTCTGCTTAAACATAATGTAATTAAATAATTAGTTTATTGTGTGTTTTGTTCAGGTAACTGTTTGTAGTACCAGGGACCAATTTTCAAAATGCAGAAAATTGGCCAATTCAGGCCTGAGCATCTGATACATTTCTGCAGTGATTTGTGTCCTGTTACTGGTCTGTCGTTATGAAGAGAGAGCAGAGTCAAAAGACAGAGCTCTCGATTTACTGGTCGATCAACGTTCCTGCCCTTATTTATGGTCATGAGGTTTGGGTACTGACCAAAAGAATGCGCCCCCAAAGTCTAGGGCAGACATGGGCAAGCTACGGCCCCCGGGCCATATACGGCCCGTTAGTCTTTTTAATCCGGCCCGCCAAACTTGTCCAAATTATAGTAAAAACCCATGGATGTGTAAAAATCTCATTCAATTCCCTTTCCCTTGTTATACCATCACTGCAATACCATCGTTCCCCGATAGATGGCGCACTAGTCATTGATCTTTGTTGGAGAGTAACTTTCTAGCTGCCGTTTCCCCCCTTCGGTTAAAATGAGCGGACCAAAGAAAAGAAAAGTGGACGCTGAGTGCCGAGTATTTAAAAAGGAGTGGACTACAAAATATTTTTTTACTGATGTCCGATCAACGGTTGTATGTCTGATATGCCAAGAAACGGTTGCAGTTTTCAAAGAGTACAATATCAGCCGTCACTTTGCCGCAAAGCATGCTAACTACGCTAGCAAGCTGTCAATACAAGAACGAGCTACTGCTCAGAGGTTGGCAGCTAGTTGACAAACTGCGATTCAAGAGTCAAATACGAAGGCATGTTTTCTGCTGGCATTCAAGTTAGCAAAGGCTAGCAAGCCTTTCTCCGAAGGCGAATTTTTGAAAGAATGTATGGTAGAAACAGCAGATCTCTTGTGTCCAGAAAGCAAAGGCAAGTTTGAAAAAGTAAAGCCACATTTCCAAACCTCTGGAGGATGGCACAGAAGATGCTGGTATTGTTTGGCTCGACCTACGTGTGTGAGCAGACTTTCAGCGTCATGAACATCAACAAACCCCGTCACAGATCCCG